TTTGAGTTATGAATCATATGATATATTTGACAGGGCACAAAACCATCTGTTAGCCAAGTTTAATTTAGATTAGTCCCTTGAATAAATATTCACCCCAGATATATAAGGTTCCCTTGAACAAAGCAACCCGTGATTGCTTACAATGATTCTTTTGTAAAGTTTGGTAGACTACCTGATCTGACTAAGTAAACTAGGGTCCAAAACACCTTGTGATGACAAAACCATGGCATCTTAATCGGGTGCATCATCATTTCCCTCACAATTCAGTCTGAAGCTCACATTGATGATGATTTAATAAACTTTAAACTTTATTTTTGCTTCTACTATACTCTAAAGCTCACAGTGATGATGATTTAATAAACTTTAAACTTTATTTGTGCTTATATTATACGTTGACTAATCAACTCCCTTATGACTAGCCTTAATTAAAAGTACCCTCCCACTGTCGAGAGGGGCAATTAACCATTGGGGCTTGTGTCTATGAGAAATCTGAAATCCCATATATTATGATTCTCGTAGATTGAGGTTGAAATCTCTCGATAGTGTCTTATCTACCATCTCATCTATCTTCTGAAAATTCGATCTAAAACCTCACGATAAACTTCCCTCATTCCTGATTCTTTCATTCGCATCTTCGTGAAAGGTTAAACCATTTCGAATTTTCGGAGCCAAAGAAGGCAAGAGAATGTGAATCATATCTCGTAAAATTTCATTAACATAATGATAGTGGAACTACAGTGACAGAAAACATGTAGTTATTATTTGAGTGAATCTACATAAAAAATATGGGTTTTATATGTTTTATTTTATTTAATTTATTTGCTCTCAATAATCTAAATAAGGTTGTACAACTATTCTCAACACTTATAAAAAGAGTTTGATTCATGATTCATATATCCCTCTAAAGGATGTCATATACTTCTCATGATAAACAATTAATGTCAATTTTCTAATAAAAATACTCATAAATACTTTTGAAATTCTCCAATGCTTATTGATGTCATAGGCTTCTCACAACAAACAATTAATGTCAATTTCTTAATAAAAATACTCATAAATACTTTCAAAAATTAATTTATTTCACAAGATTGATCAACTTATTGTCTTTATGCTAGTTGTTTTTTCGTAGGGCGGCATTAATAAGGCTCTACAATTTAAAATTCATAATTTTACTTTAGAACTGTGTTGTATTTATAACTCTCACAACATTATATACATTATTGAAATAATGTAGTGGTTCCTTGATCATCCAAGTTTCCTCTCAAATCCTTTCTACATGGGCGGTAATTCGTATGGTGGGAAGATAACTGTGCTAACTGCACATAAAGTTGTTGAAGGTAATTTTTTTGCCAAAAGATTCTATATGAACAAAAGCATATTATAATGTATTTTCGGTAAGGCATCAGTTATGTTTTATGTTGAACACAGGAAATGAAGGTGGTGAGAAGCCTCTAATCAATATCAAGGTATTTACTTGATGTAGCTTTATTGTATCTCGAAAATTATCATTTCATATGTTTTTTATACAAATGCTTATAAGCATAGTTGGAATAAATTTGTTGAAGTTTCAAACTTTTTTGATAATTTTCAGGGTTATCTAGTTGGTAATGTTGTAACAGGTGATAAAGTTGATACAAGCTTTCAAGCTCCACATGCTTATGGATTGGGGATTATTTCTAAAGAGCTCTATAAGGTGCTTCCTTATTCTATTTAAGGCTCGTTTAATTGATTGAAATTATTAAACATATTTTAAAAGTTGTTAAGTTTTGCTAAATATATCATTTTGTTAGACATAATTAGAAATCATTTCAGACTTTGAAAACCTCCTCAAAATTTCCTTAAACATAATAATTTTATTTTTACATGCTAAAAGAGTGAGAAAGTTCTTTTCCAACATGCTTTCACCTATATTCATTTTGGTGAGGTTGATCAAGTTATCATCAAAGCTTGTAT